TTTTTTCAACGTTTATTTATTTTTGGGACAGAGAGAGACAGAGCATGAACGGGGGAGGGTCAGAGAGAGAGGGAGACACAGAATCGGAAACAGGCTCCAGGCTCTGAGCCATCAGCCCAGAGCCCGACGCGGGGCTCGAACTCACGGACTGCGAGATCGTGACCTGGCTGAAGTCGGACGCTTAACCGACTGCGCCACCCAGGCGCCCCATACATTTATTTATTTTTGAGACAGAGACTGAGAGCTGGCGCAAGTGGAAAGGCTAGAGGGTACAGAGGGCACCATATAAATTCGGAGGAAAGAGAACAATCGAGTCCAGCTGGACCATCATGGTTAAGGGCACAGATCCTGAAGCCAGACTGCCTGGCTTCTCATCTTGGCTCTGACACTTAATGGTTCTATGACTCTGTACAAGTTCCATAACCTCTTTATGTTCCAATTTCCTTTAAAAATGGGACAAAGCATGGAACAAACTTTCCACTGTGACAGGATGAGTTAAGTCAGCAAACTGTGAAACTCTAAGCACAAGGGCCAGCACAAAGAAAACGCTCCAAAAGTAATTTAAAAGAAGAATCAAAGAAATGTATAAATAAGGGCCTCCCCAGGCAGTCAAATACCCTCATGGAGTGAAGCAGGTGGGCTTGTTTAGAAATGTGTCATTTGATGGGGCGCCTGGGTGGCTCAGTCGGTTGAGCGTCCGACTTCAGCTCAGGTCAGGATCTCACAGTCCGTGAGTTCGAGCCCCGCGTCGGGCTCTGTGCTGACAGCTCAGAGCCTGGAGCCTGCTTCAGATTCTGTGTCTCCCTCTCTCTCTGACCCTCTCCTGTTCATGCTCTCTCTCTGTCTCAAAAATAAATAAACATTAAAAACAATAATAGAAAGAAATGCGTCGTTTGCTGTTAAACACATTGGAATCGTTTCATTTCAAAACAACAAAGTGTTCTCTTCCACCCATTCTAGCTTTCCATTCTCTACTTGTAACACAGACGAGATCTATTTAGTTTTCAGGTGACTCTGTCACAAGATAAACACAACAGTGCAAGCACAGTGGTAAGTGACAGGTGATGCTCAGCCTCAGTGTGGGGAACCACAGAACCAGGCAGGAACTGCAGAGAACTTGAAAACGTCCGCCTCATCTAAAGAAGGCCACTGACTTAATAAAACCATGGCCAAGGGCTGCTAGGGCCCATTGTTGTCACATTTCCCAATTTTCTTTCTTTTTTTTTTTTTTTTTTTTTTTTTTTTAATGTTTATTCATTTTTGAGAGACAGAGAGAGACAAAGCATGTGTGGGGGCAGAGAGAGGGAGACACAGAAATCTGAAGCAGGCTCCAGGCTCCGAGCTGTCAGCACAGAGCCCGATGCTGGGCTCAAACCCATGAACTGTGAGATCATGACCTGAGCTGAAGTTGGATGCCCAACTGACTGAACCACCCAGGCGCCTCACATTTCCCAATTTTCAAAGGACGCTGAAGACTCAGATTTTTATGTGAAAGCACCTGATTTTCTTACATACACTATTTTTTAACATGCTACCACACATAACCACCACTACCCCAGCCAAAGAGAACACGCCTGACCACTATATCTGACCCACATGCTGCCCATCTGCTGTAAAGAGCATGGTGACTAGAATAGGAAATCTGAACTAGATCAAATTAAGAATTTGTAAGTAATATTTTAGGGCAGACATAACTGCCCTCTGGTCAATCTTGCAGAGATAACTCCTCTTAACAATGAACAACAGCACAATATACTTTGGATGAGAAAATAATGTGATCAAAATGATGTTTAGGAGAATTAATCTGTACCATCACCCAGAATAGATTAAAATATGTTTATAACACAGGCTTATGAAAAGTCATTTTTCATTTTGTATTTGCTGAAATACCATTGCTCTTAAGTTTAAATGTTACCAACAGTAAAAATGCTTAAACCTAAAAAAAAGAAAATGTGAATATTCTCAAAATTCTAGGAATACTTGAAGCCATTGGATCACCTCACCTTTTTCATTTACTGTAAGTGAAAATATTTTAGATGGCCATGAAAAGAAAATCAGGTAAATTTAAGCCTCACTGCACAAAATCAGGCCATCCGTTTTTATGGTTCACATTCAAGACAGGTTACAAATTCATTTACATGTTCATTTCCTTGAATTCTTATAAAAATGAATCAGTTAAAATCTTCAAGCAGGACATTATTAGTAAGTGAAGAACTCAGCAGTATTTTAAGTAGAATATAAGTAAATTTTAATGGCATGATGTCTCCCTTTTCAAGACTAAAGATATATTCTTATCAAAAGTGCATAAACCCATTTCTTTGAGATTAGATTCAGTTAAACAAACTCAAAGTGAGGGACATTCTAGAAAACAACTGGCCCCTTAAATATGCCAAAATTATGAAACACAGAGAAGTTGAGGAACTGTTTCAAATTAAAGAAGACTAAAGAGAACTGACAAGTTAGCATGTCATAGACAGAGTCCCAGATCAGAGGGGAAGGACACTGTGAACTCACAGACGGATCCCAGATCAGAGGGGAAGTGTACTATAAACCACTAGGAAAGATCCTCTGCTTGACCAAACTTTAGTTGGCCTTCTCTGAGCCTGATTCAACCCCATCCTTGGGCAAGAGCCCAATTTTAGAAAGAATCCTGCTGAGTCAGTTTAACCAGAATCCCCCACTCTAGATATCTATCTGATTGTCCTCAATAACCAAACATATTCCTCACTCCCCAACTGGCACCCCCAGGTAACCTCTGATCTGCAAGCATCCTATGTGGATTTAGCCAGAAGTGCCCCCACCCCCAGCCCCCCGCTCTGGCCCCATCACTGATGTTTCCTCTTCGTAATTTTCCCTCTACTGACACTGCCCCACCCCCATCCCAGCTCCTTGCCTATCAATCCTGACTTTTCCTTGTTGTATTTGGAATCTGGGCAAGTTCTATACTGTGGTCCCTTTTCTCCTACTGCAACAGTTTGAGTAAAATCTGGTTTTGCTACTTTAACTACTGGCAGTCTTTGACAGGACTGAACTATGAAGTACAACCAGCAAAATCTGTAGATGGTTTGTGTAAGACTGTGCTAAGAGTATTTTTATCAATGTTGAGTTTTCTGAATTTGAGTTGCACAGCAGCCTTCTATCATAGGGTTTGGCAAACTTTTTCTGTAACAGGATCAAATAGCCAATATTTGAGGCATAGAGGGCCATGTACAGTTTCTGTGACATATTCTCTGTTGCTTTTGTTTCTTACAACCCTTTAAAAATGTAAAAACCAAAATAATAATCACAATCATAATAATCCTAAATTTAAAAAAAATAAAAATAAAAATGTAAAAACCATTCTTGGCTCAAGAGCTGCACAGAACAGGCTACGGGCTAAATTTGGCCAACAAGCCATAGGTTGCCAACCCCTGATGTAATAAATATACTTGCTCTTAGGAAAACTGCAATGAGGCATGGAAGAGTAAAGGATCATAATGTCTGCAACTTGTTCTCGAATGACTCAGCAATAACAATAATAATAATGATAATATGTACGAGAGAAATAAAACACACGGTAAAATGTTCACAAATGGTAAATCTAGGTGAAAGGTGAGGGGAGTTCATTATACCATGCTAGCAACTTTCCATTAAACTTGACTTTTATCAAAATAAAAGGGTAAGATTTACCAAAAAAGGGGCATAGATATCTCTGGGGATTTAAACCTGGACACCTCAATGTGCAGACATGGGGCCTGGTTCTGGCAGCTCAAGCAGGAGAGAATGAGAACTGTCACAAAGGAAGAGGTATTCTGTCATCAAGGTCACTTCAATACATACCCATGTGTCCAGAGGTATCTAGATTCTCCGGTCATCACCAGCAAACTCCGACGAGGCAACATAACAGGCACCGTGATGCCGTCTGGGTGCTTAAAGTCCATGACAACCTTGAAGGAAAGACAAAAGCATAAAGATGAATCAAAAATGTCATGTACTCCAAGGGTAAGAATGATTAATTGATTCTGGCTTTCCAGGTTAACAGGGATTCAGACATGATAATGCTTACAGAAGAGTATAGCACGGTGGTCTTCAAACTTCTGTGCACATAAAAATCAACTGGACAGCTAAAAAACACCCTTCATCCATAGGCTGAAACTTAGCAGGTCTAGGATGAGGCCCAGGAATCTGCATTTCTAACAATCACCCCAGGAAATTATGATGCAGGTGGTCTGAGGACCATACATACAATGCAAAACACGAAGGCAGTGGTCAAATGCTAGGACTGGGGGCTGAAACATTCATATCCTGACTCTTCCATTTACTTGCTATATGACCCAGGACAAGTCAGTTAACCCCTCCATGCCTCAGTTTCCTCAGTCCTTATAGGACTGTTACATGAATTAAATATATAATGGACATAAAAGACACTATCTGGCACATAATATAAAAATTCTATAATATAATTATACACAGGATATCAATAATTAATAACACCCCCCCCAACAACTATTAGATGCCTATTCTCATATAACCCATTTTGCCTTTAAAGTCATGCAACATTTTGGATACTGAAGGCTAATTTATAGGAGACAAGTGAAGAACACAGAACATTTTCAGTAACTCTTTCTAAGTTGTGCTCAAATATTATTATGAATAACAACCTATTAAGATACAACACCAGGAAACTATTTGTCCTCAGGAACCCAAATGCCAAAGAGTTCAGTCTAAACATAGCAGCAGCTAACAAAGGTGACTTTAAAAGGCACACCACGGGGCTAAAAAATATTTTTAAGTGAACAATTCAATCCACTTGAAAAATAAATATGACAACGAAGTATCAGCAGGATGAACGGAACTTAGCAAAGCATCTTTGTTAAAGGTGAACTTTTAGTACAGTACCTCGCATAACAACTGTTACCGACTATTATCGGTTCAAAGTAGACAACAGACATGAAAATTCCTCGTAAACTACAAAGAATTATAAAGACCCAAGGCGCTTTTCTCCCTTTTGCATCTGTCCTGTTAAATAGGGAAAATAAAGCGAACTGACAATTTCATTTTCTAACAATTATCTGTTCCAAATGATCACTTTTGAAATTTCAAAAAACCATGCTCTAAAAATATTCTATTTATAAACACTGCAGATGAATTCTTAAGTTGTAGGGTGAAGTATAATGATACCTGCAACTTTCCAAAATGTATACATAAGACGATGGACTGATAAAAGAATGGATAGATGGACAACTATTCGATAAAGCAAAAATGTTAAAAACTGGAGAATCTAGGTGGTACATATATAGGTATTTGCTATACAATTCATTCTATTTTCCTATATGAAAATTTTCATACTAAAAAGTTGAGGGAAAGGGAGAAAAACCCACTCTGACCCATTTTTAAACCAACACATGAAGGTTTCAATCTTCTGAAGAAAAACTAAGGTCCATGTAGAAGAGGACAGAATGACAAGCAGATTTATTAATTTTTTTTTATCAGAGAAAATCATTTGTGGCTTAAGGAAATGAAAACTGCTGACAAGAAACTATTCTGAGAGACGAGACTCCCATTTATTCCTTAGATGAATATTTATTTTTCACTGTGTGAGCTTTCAAAGGCCACAATGGTAAGTGAGAAACATGTCCTTGCCTGCCCAGAGGTTACAGTTCCTGGCTAATTAACACTCAACATTTGTTACAAATCTACAGTGCCTATTTACTTGTAAAATGCAAACACATTTCCTTCCATCAACAGAGAGTAATGATCTTAAAATTCGGAAATCTCAGTTTAGACAAATGATCAGAACTAACAAGTATGAACTTGATGCTAATTATTTGGGAAATATTTGTCCTGAATACAGAAGCCAAGTTTCAAGGAAGAAAAACACACTACCAAATAAGTCAAATTTTACGGGAATTAGGTTAGAATATACATAATACTTATTATTATTTTTGATGATAATCATTATTAGTTTGCTAGACAGGCTCACAGAACTCAGGAAAACAGTTCACTCACTGTTTACCAGTTGATTATAAAATGATATTATAAAGGATCCAGATGAACATCCAGATGGAAGAGACGTGCAGGGCCGTGTGTGTGTGGGAAGGGGCACACAGCTTCCATACCCTCTCTACTGTGCCCTTCTTCCAGCACCTCTGCATGTTCATCGGCCCGGAAGCTCTGTGACCCCCAGACTATTGGGATTTTTATGGAGGCCTCATCATGTAGGCATGACCAGTTACTAACTCTATGTCCAGCCCCTCTCGCCTCTGGAAAACAGGGAACGGGACTGAAAATTCCAAGCTTCTGACCTTGGCTTGGTCTTTCTGGTGAGCAGCCACCATCCAGGAGCCCACGAGGAGTCATCTCACTAGGACAAGACACTGCCATCCCCCAGGGAATTCCAAAGGCCTTAGGAAGTCTGTGTCAGGAACCCGGGTGAGTTGCCAAATATTAGAACAAAAAATGCTCCTAGTACTCTTCTTATTTAGGAAATTTAGAAGTGTTTTTGGAGTTCTGTGCCAGGAACCGGGGACACAGACTAATATACCTGTTTTCTATTACCTCACAGGTATACAATGTGAGAGTCTGTTTTTTTTTTTAATTTAAGAAAGTAATTTTTATTTATAAAATTAAAAGAAAATAAATTTTTCTTAAAACAGTCTATCATAAAAGACTGTCATTATCATCATATTTATTTAAAGTATCTGTATCTTTTTTTTTTTATAATAGTTTTTTTTTTTTTCAACGTTTATTTATTTTTGGGACAGAGAGAGACAGAGCATGAACGGGGGAGGGGCAGAGAGAGAGGGGGAGACACAGAATCGGAAACAGGCTCCAGGCTCTGAGCCATCAGCCCAGAGCCCGACACGGGGCTCGAACTCATGGACCGCGAGATCGTGACCTGGCTGAAGCCGGACGCTTAACCGACTGCGCCACCCAGGCGCCCCTAAAGTATCTGTATCTTAACTAAACAAGGCTTGTTAAGACTAAAAAAAAAAAAAAAACTTTTTAAAAAATTCACAAAGGATTCACAATCAATAACGCTCCCTGCAACTGCTAAATCATTCTGCCAATGTGACAGCTTTGCTCCACAGGAGCTTTTTCCAATTATTCTTTTTGGCTTTACCTATTTTCCTTATTTTCCGAGATGGCAGAGTCAATAAAGATCAAGGTCCCAGCAAGCTCGTGGGGCATGATGGAGAATAATGTTCAGTTCAAAGCAAGCAAACAAAAAATCCTAGACTTTCTGATCTTATAAAACCTTTATGCATTCAAAGTACAATAGAAGTGAAAACCCCAGACACAGCCATCACTCTATCCTCAAGGAAAGATGACTCATGACAGAAAAGTACATGAAATAAATAGATCTCCGTGTCGGCTAAACAGGAAAATGAAGAGTACATTGCTACTGGGAGCATTTCCAAGAAAGAAGACAAACTTAATGTGGATCCTTACTGGTTAGAAAATTGGGTTGAGATCATGAACATTCTGAAACCCTGAACGGCATATGCACGAGAAACAATATGATGTAAAGCATGACATGTGAGTCACAGAGAACGATGAAGACTGATAGGGTGGAAGTCACTATGTTTGACTGAAGAAAATATCCCACAGCTGAGAATGTAGCAGGAGCTAGAGAAGTCCACCTGTTCCCCATTTCCTGCCAAATATAAATCTTCTGTAATTGCACTGATGTTTTCATTGGATTCAAATGAAGCAAGAATTTGCTTATTTTAAATGGCAAACAAGGGGGCTCCTGGGAGGCTCAGCTGGTTAAGCGTCCGACTCTTGGGTTCAGCTGAGGTCAAGATCTCATGGTTTGTGAGTTCAAGCCCCACATGGGGCTCTGAAATGACACCGTGAAGCCTGCTGAGGATTCTCTTTCCCTATGTGTCTGCCCACTCAATCTCACCCCCACCTCTATCTTTCTAAAAAATAAATAAATGAATATTTTTTAAAAATGGCAAACAAGTGACTCTACATGTTTCATCAGGGCCATGTCTACCACATTTGGACAAGTGGGAAAGGAGAAAAGGAAAAAGGGAGAGAGTAACGAATGCAAATATACAAGCTATAAAGTATTTACAAAGACTGAAGCTATAAAGTATTTACAAAGAAATACAGGTCATGTCAAAAATGTCTGCTTACATACTTTCCTTGGACCACAAATACAGAATCCCAGTGTATCATGAGATATATAGTCCATTGTGGGGGAGAAGAGGAACTTAGAACATTTTTAGTAAAACAAATAATAGTTTTTTGTCTCTCTACAAAAAATGACGCCCCTAAATGTGTACTTTGCTAAACTGAAAAGTAGCTGGAAGAAAAGCCTGCTGATACGCCATATTATTCCAGGGCAGAGGAACTAATAGGAATTTTGTCTGGGACACTTGGAGAACACTGGCTGATGTCAATGACCTTTCAATCTCTTACCCACGCCATATAAGTCTGCTTAGTTTTCATCCTTTAAGGCAAGTTAAAATCAAAGACCAAAACAAACCTATTTCCCTTCCTGGACTCCTATTGGCAAGATAAGTTTCCAAACGACAACAAAAGCAGAAGCCTTGAAATTTGCTAAATTTCTTGAAAGCTGAGAAGTCAAGATTACCAAGTCTGGTGAAACTCAAAGGAAAGAAACTGTGGCAGCCACACACCCTGAACATACTAGACCCACGGTCTCCCATTTGAAAATCGCTGACAGAAAACAAACTCTACTCCCTTGTTGCACAGTCAGAAGCAATTTTGTAATGTCCAGGCCTCAATATTCTTGTCGTGAGGGGCAAAGTTGCGCATTAGAACATATAGATCAGATGGTACTTTGTGGCACAGCAAAGTGGTCCTTCAAGAAGTACGTGCAGGAGAGAACTACCGCTGTGGCCCAAATGCCCTCGTTCCCCACTGCCTCTGAGAGAGGATGCGAGAAGCAGAGCATCATCTGAGCTTCTGGTGT